TCTATCTATCTATCTATCTATCTATCTCCCCCGTCCCCCCCTGTGTTTCTGCCTTTGCTCGCCACTGTCCCTAAGAACCCGCCGTTAGAATCTCACATAATGTCTGATGCCCGAAACTTTTTGCTAAAATGGGTTGACAATGGGTGTGTCATGGGTGATCGAATCCAGTTGCAATCTCATATAATGTGGTCCGGCTAGCGAACCGGCACATGGACCTGCGAAGGGGGGGGGGCTGAAGTACGTATTCCGCCCACTGCGAACATAGTATTAAAAATAAAACGTATACACACACACACGAAACAACAGAAAACAACATAACAACAACGGCCTCCACTCGCCACCATCCCGAAGAACCCGTCATTGCAATCTCATATAATGTCTGATGCCCGAACCTTTTTGCCAAAAAGGGTCGACAACGGGTATGCCATGGGTGATCGAATCAAGTTGCAATCTCATATAATGCGGTCTGGCTGGCGAACCGGCACACAGGGGGGGGGGGGGGGGGGGGGGGGGTTGAAGTACGTATCCCGCTCACTACGAACTATGCAGTGCCCATAATCAAGCGCACAATTTGCATGTTGATGGGCCCAGAGCATTCGAACAAACCTGGAGTATTTTCTGAGTTGTCGAGCGAAGGCCGGTCCAAAAGGCTACCGTGAAGATAGCCTACAAGGGAGAACTTTGAATACCGTTGGTGTGCTAGGGTGGTTGGGGTTGGGTGGGGTGTGTGTGTGTGTGTGTGTGTGTGTGTGTGTGTGTGTGTGTGTGTGATGGGTCCAGTACTCCAAGCGATGGAAGTTGACCCATATCACTGCCCACTTAGCAACACTTACCAATGATTGTTTCGATTTATTCTTATTTATGTCGGTCCAACATGAATTCCGGCTTGTTACAAAAAGTAAACAATCAAAAGGTTCACTTTTAACGAAATGTGTATTCTCATTAATAAGAAGAATGTTGTCGTAAATGTACCTACCCGTAATAAAACCAATCTGCGAAGGGTGAATAACATCTACCATTACTGAAATGATGTGATTCGTCAAGACTTTGGTCAACAATTTGTACACCACTGTAAGCAGAGTTATTGGTTTGTAATTCCTGATATTCATTTTATCTCCCTTCTTATCGAATCTTATGTAAGAGGGTGAGGATAGCCTGCCCAACCGACTCCCCTATTTATCATGTAAAAGTTGTCCACATGGCTTCACAAAATTCCTTAGGAAGCTCATGCACATCTGAGGCTTTATCCTGCTTCATATGTAATAAGGTCATCCATATTCCTTCCTCAACCACTGGGCGATCCAAGTGTTCCCTTTACTCTAGAGTGAGTGTCTAGGTCATATGAGCAATAAATTTCTCTATTGCGATATCTTCTTCACGTTCGTTCGCAGAGATTTTGAAGGAA